GATCCTCTGTTTGGAAGCATCCAGGATGATAAACCAACTGCAGCTATCAAAACTGTTATCTCTACCTTTTCAAAGGGAAACCCAAGCCTAAGAGCAAGTAGTTTTGCAACAATTATTACCTGCCCAAGAACACCAGTGCTAGAACATGTAACAACGAATGGAATGAAAATACCTCCATCAAGCCACAACTCCCTACATTTGTGTTTGTTCTGCAGAAGAAGTGGTCACTCATTGGAGCAGTGTCCACACATCCTGAAGAAAACACACAGAGAAAGAATGGACTTCTTGAAAGGAAAAGGGGTGTGTTTTGGATGCCTACAAATAGGACACATGAGCAAACACTGCCACAGTCGTTTGACATGTTATGTGTGCAATCAAAGTCATCCTGAAATACTCCACATTGAACAAAAAGGCAAAAGAGAGGAAGCAGAACACACAAAACAGAATGGGAAGCCAATGGAAAGTAATAGTGTCATCTCACCTCATACATGTGGTCACATTGGGGCCGGTGATGAAAACTCCATCTTCTCCATTGTACCAGTACAAGTAAAGAGCCACAAAGTGTTACAAACTTATGCATTTCTGGACCATGGAAGTTCATCCACCTTTTGCTCAGAAAGTTTAATGAGGAGGCTAAACCTTACAGGACAAAGGACTAACATTCTCCTAAAGACAATGAATCAGAGAAAGATTGTGTCTAGTCATCATATCTCAGGTTTGGAAATATCGAGTCTGGACGAAAACAATTTCCTTCAACTATCCGATGTGTTTACACATAAAACCATGCCTGTTTCCAAGCACAATATTCCTCTACAAGAAGATCTGGAAAAATGGCCTTACTTAAAGGACATCAAAATTAATGAAATTGCTTCTGGCATTGACCTACTCATTGGGACAAATTCTCCTAAGGTATTGGAACCTTGGGAGCTGATCAATAGCCAAGGAGAAGGACCGTACGCTGCAAAGACCCTACTGGGGTGGGTCTTCTATGGTCCCCTAAAAGGAAGCAACGACAGCAGAGATGCTAATGGCCACCCTGCTGCTGCTGTTAATCGGATAGCCATGGTACACCTAGAGGAGCTATTGGTCAAACAATACAAGCATGATTTCAAGGAAAATACAAGCAAGGAAAACAGAGGAAATGTCCAGAGAAGACAAACAATTCCTGAACATTATGAATCACTCTGCAAACATGTCAGACGCCAAAGAGGATGGCGATGTTGTAGCAGACGCCAAAGAGGATGGAGATGTTGTAGCAGACGCCAAAGAGGATGGAGATGTTGTAGCAGACGCCAAAGAGGATGGAGATGTTGTAGCAGACGCCAAAGAGGATGGAGATGTTGTAGCAGACGCCAAAGAGGATGGAGATGTTGTAGCAGACGCCGAAGGAGACAGTGATAGGGATGTTGAAGGCAAAACTGAGGCCCCCCAAGAGGAAGAAGATGAGGGTCGGGATTCAGGTGATTACTATGAAGAGGCAGACGACGAGCCTTTTGAAAGCCAGCCGACTTCAGACTCCTGTCACAGCATGCCTGACTTCACAGCAGATGTCGAGTTACACCAATCTGACGCAGTGCCTGAGGAAGAAGCCAAGCCTGTGGCCGAGAAAGTGAAAATGTCAGATGGACACTACTGCCTAGACTTGCCATTCAGACAAGAAAATCCCAGCTTGCCCAACAACAAACACGTTACCGAGCAGCTCATCTGCGATTTTGCTGCTATGGTAGCAGGGCACCGGCTGAACCCAAGTGACAGACCTGAAGAAGTGACTGACTCATCAATGCAGGAGCCCTATAAGGAGAGGCTTGGAATTGGGTGAAAATATAACCCACAGGTTCTCTCAGCGCTGGACGGGATGGCAACACTACTGCTTCAACCTAAGAACAGCAAAGACTGATGACCCTTAAAATAAGGGAGAAGAAAATAAACTAAAAATTATTTAAGAATTACATGCTAACACATACACACCATTTGTATAGCTCCTTTATTATTTATTGGTAATTGTTTTTGTTTTCATACTAAAGCCAATTAGGGGCCGGTGTGTAGGAGCCATTTTGTGGGTGATGTTGGTGTGTCAGTTTATTTGAGTTATATGTATAGTGCAATATTATTTATGAACACTGGGTGGCGGGGTTTAGCTGCACCGGGTGTATATAAGGAGGTCATAGGTGACAGGAGCGGGGAGGACACAGAAGGAGAAGAGCATACCGATTCCACCAGCCCGGCAGGTGCTCATAGAATCACTAGAACGCTAAATTAACCCTGGTATGTAAAGACGAATAAACATCATCATAAACCACAATTTAAGGACCGGAAAATCATCTGTTTGTGTCTGCGTCTGGATCACTTTTCAACCCTTCTGTGTCCTCCCCGCTCCTGTCACCTATGACCTCCTTATATACACCCGGTGCAGCTAAACCCTGCCACCCAGTGTTCATAAATAATATTGCACTATACATATAACTCAAATAAACTGACACACCAACAACACCCACAAAATGGCTCCTACAAAATAAATAAGCAATATTTATAAAATAAAAGATGTGTAACATTGTATCCATCTATCTATCTATCCATCTATCCATCCATCTATCTATCTATCCATCTATCCATCTATCTATCCATCCATCCATCCATCCATCTATCCATCTATCTATCCATCTATCTATCTATCCATCCATCCATCTATCCTCTATCCATCCATCCATCTATCCATCCATCTATCCATCTATCTATCCATCTATCCATCCATCCATCTATCCATTCATCTATCCATCCATCCATCTATCCATCTATCTATCCATCTATCTATCTATCCATCCATCCATCTATCCATCCATCTATCTATCTATCCATCCATCCATCTATCCATCCATCTATCCATCCATTCATCTATCTATCCATCCATCTATCCATCCATTCATCCATCTATCCATCTGTCTATCTATCCATCTATCCATCCATCCATCCATCCATCCATCCATCCATTCATCCATTCATCTATCTATCCATCCATCTATCTATCTACCCATCCATCCATCCATCCATTCATCTATCTATCCATCCATCTATCTATCTACCCATCCATCCATCCATCCATTCATCTATCTATCCATCTGTCTAAATGAGGGCTAGCTCTTTTTGACCCTTAAACTCTAGGAAGTAGGAGCATCTAGAAGGGTACAGGTGATCCCAGTGTATGAAGTGACTGATCCCAGGTTCTGTCAGGGTCTGAGGTTTGATCCCTGACTGAGTCACCACCTCTGAACATGCAGACAGATCAAAGACGATGGCGTGTAGTTTGTGTTTTCTCCTCTGATGTGTGCCATGCAACACGCTGTCATGCGTCTGTCTCTGTCTGAAGCAAACAGGAAGAGGCTTGTAAACTCTTCCTTTAGGCCTGGCAACAATGAGGTGCAGTAGAGACGCTGCAGAACAACAAGGTAACAGAAGACAGGTAATGTCCATGTAAACCCTCAGAGGACATAGATCGATGTTCTCTGACTCAAAAACACTTAAAACCTTTAAAAACTATCTGTTTTAAGTATATTTATTTGTCCGTATTTGACTGAAAAGGCACCAGTTTTATAAAGCAATGTAAAGCAATCAGATTCAGAACCAAAATATATATTTGTTGACAGATGCTCAATTGTAGAATAACGTAAAATTAAAAAGAAACATAAATTAGAATTAAAATGTGTACACTCAAATAAAAAAACGTAAGTAAATATGTGCAAATGTACCTACACTACATAATAACAACAAATATGTAAAAAAAAAAAACATGTTTACATTTGCTGTTAATCCATGATTTGATACCCAAAACAACAACAATGGAGAGTACGGTGGCCCTGAAGTGCAAGACACCACAGCATTTCAGAAAACACTACATCATTTCAGAAAACACTACGGCCCTGTCTCAGGTCGGTTAAATGAAATCCTTGCTTCCCTCACTTGCGTCGTTTCCCTGGCTGCTTCTCAGGTCGACTATTTTCATTTCGTCGCTCCTCGGTCCTCGGTCTCACCGGAAGTTGATTTGTCTGCGCCATCTTGAGTACCGTCCCATGGCTCTTATTTCTGCCGGAGGACCGAGGATCGAGGAGCGAGGAGCGATAATGGAGGAGCGATAATGGAGGAACCACCAGACCATCCTCCGATGAAATCCTCCGATACTCGCCCCGCCCCCTTACTGTGTATCGCTCACTGATTGGACGATGCAGTGCATGCACTGATCTCATGCTTCTTGACATGAGAGCAGAGTGAAGAAAATACACGAACCTCACGGGAGTCAATCCTCAGTTTATACCGTGTTTTGTTTCAATTCCTGTTTCATTTAGTTACACATATGTGATATATCTGAACAACAAAGTGGTCAAAAATCATTTTATTCATTTGTTGGAAACATTTTCATGATCGCTTTTTTCGTTTTACATTTTCATTTATTGTCATTTCCATTCAGTCAGTCATTAAGTGCTATTGAAATGTTAATTTACTACATATCCAAACAAACAAACAAAGTGTGCAATCCAATGAATGTTAATCTAACTGGGTTTTGATAGATAACATATCTCTTTTTCTTCTCTCAACTATTTTGTTTCTTTTGTGTACTCTAATCAATATTAATCAAACTATTGTTCGTTTATACATTTTAAGAATGGCGTTTATCTTTTTTGAGAATTAGTTCTTATTTTATTTTATTTATTGGGATCTACAACAGATGATACAAATGTTTGTGTCAGTAAATGTGTACTAACAGAGGCGGGGGTGTGTGTGGAAATAACGGGGACAGAGCTGCTGTCAGACGATCAGCTGTGCAGCGTCATCACAAACGGACGTCGCTTCACGTGACGCTCCGGAGGAAAGGACGTCCCATTGCTCTTAAAACTCATTTCCCTGCTTCTCGTGGTTTCCTTGCGTCCCTCCATGCTTCCCTGGTGGGAGGGACTAAACGCAGGGAAACCACGCAAGTGAGGGAAGCAAGGATTTCATTTAATCGACCTGAGAAGCAGCCCCTGTGTTTTCTGAAATGCTGTGGTGTCTTGCACTTCAGGGCCACCGTAGAAGAGAGTCTGTTGCTGCTTTAAACTCCTGCATTTCCCCACAGGGATTAATACATGTCTGTCTGTCCGTCCGTCTGTCTATCTGTCTGTCTGTCTGTCTGTCTGTCTGTCTGTCTGTCTGTCTGTCTATCTATCTATCTATCTATCTATCTATCTATCTATCTATCTATCTGCCTGCCTGCCTGTCTACTATCCTCCATTCTCATCTGTCCAGCAGGTGGTGATAATGCGCCAAAAGCGTCGAATAACAACCGCAAAATTAAGCGTAGAAGAAGAACGCGTCACATGACCAGAAATGTTTAATCAACATCCATGCTAGAATCATCACACCGTGGGAACAGATATAAACAGCACCAGGTGGATATTAAATATATAATAACCCCTGAGGAAGATGCGCTCTCTGGGCTCCGTGCAGCACAAGATCCCGTGCGTGTTCCTCACGGAGGTGAAGGAGGAACCGTCCAGAAAACGCGACTGTCAGGTGAATACAGACACCCAGAAACATCTAGAGACTGCTGCTGATAAAGCAAAAACAAAGGGTGGACGTGTATGTATTTCTTATTAGATAAAATAAAGAAAAAGCAGGTCGTTTTTTTTTAGTAGACAGTACGCTTATGTTTTAACTTAGACGCATTTTCTCCTCTCCTCACCATCCTCCTTTACCATTGACTTACAGTGGTGTACTTGCCCAGTGTAATGCAATACAATGCTTTGGAGTCACTGGGTCACATGACATTCAAGCTATTACAAATAAATTAGAGATTGAAAAATGCAGATTCAATTAAAATAGTCATATATAATAATAGGTGGACTAAAACACAACAACACATTTTATGTGTCTTGTGTGATAATACAATGCTGCTTGAATTAGTCAATTAGTCATGAACAGGATATGGAAAACATACTTGCAAATAAGGAACTGCTATTTTTCTCACAGATAGATTTATATGAAATGAACCAAAATATGATTTTGTAAATTTAATTGTAGTTACACTAACATTGTAGTTTTTATATTTTTCCTCTGAATGAACTGAACCTCTGTCTCTTCAGCAGTTCCAGGTAGTCGCCACAGAGACCCTGAACCCCGTGGCTCTGGAGGCCGACATCCACGGTGCCGTCGCCACAGAGAAGATCGACGGCACCTGCTGCTACGTTACACTTTATAACGGTGAGCATCTCCACAATAATAACATAGAAGCCCTCTGGAGAAGGGGTGAGCGTTGTGTTTGGGCTGGGCAATATATAATAATAATAATACTATATCTGTACTGTGATATGAGACTTGATATTATCGTATATTTTGGTTATTGTAATGTTGTAAGTGCTGTCTTTCCCTGGTGCACTATAGAAAAGTAATATCATTTTCTAGATTTTATATTATTTGATTCTACCCACTTAGTCCTTATATCATCATTTCAATATTTAGTAAAAGCACCAAAGGGACAATACTGTTGAAATATCGTTATTGAAATATTTGGTAAACATCTTTTACTATTTGTGTTTCTTTATATCGCCCAGCCCTACCATGCTGTTTTCTTTGTTAAAAATAAATAGGCTAAAATATATACGTTTGCGGTTGTGTTGCCTGTACTGCTTCATATTGTGATATGTTGTTGATTTAAAAAAACTAGCATACTAGCAATTATCTTAGTACTCCATTTCTCTTAAAAAATAAACAGTCCTTCCTCTAGAACAGGGGTTCCCAACCCCCAGTCCGGTACCGGGCCGTGGAGGTGTTACTGCCGGGCCGCGAAATAGCTGTGAGTTTATCGTAATATTTGCAGAATTATAAATATATAAAAATGATCATAATATATTTTTTAAAAAGTGTTTAATGTCCGCACCTATACCAGTCATATTATTTCATCCAGTAGCCTAGTTAATCTTCCACCAGATAACTGTTGAAAATAGCTTTTATGATGTTCCGAGGGATTCGGCGGCTCAGCCTGGTCTCAGCCTCTCGTGCGCACGAGAAAGTTACCGGTGCGCCAAGTAGGAAGAGGAGCGCACAGGAGACAACCGCTTGATTGCAGACTGTAATGTTTATGTGGGGAAATGGCAGTGCATACATTATTTGAGATATTTCAAACTCGGACTTCATTTTAAGGACATGTCGGCCAGGGGTGTAGAGCTATATGTTTTATTAGCTTTTCTTTTTAATGACTGATTTTAAATGCCATTTTCTTAATGTCTTTCATTTTTTTGTAAAGCACTTTGAATTGCCTTGTGTTGAAAAGTGCTATATAAATAAACTTGCCTTTGTTTAAGCACCGGCTTGGCAAAACAGGAGAGTAAACCAGTCTGCCTTGATCTATGAATTCATGTCCGGGACTCTCACGGTATCTGCTGCCCGCAGCTGTTTGAAGGAAAGCCTCCTTCACTTCATGAAATGGCTGCAGGCAGCATCAGGAGGCAGCGGGACGTGTAACTCCGCCTCTGAGAAGTGCAGCACCAGCGCGCCGAGAGCTGTGCCTTTTTACGCACCGCCTTCGCTGTGTTTACCTTCATCAGAACAGCGAGTGACTGCAGGCAGCTACGTGTTAACCACACACACCTCTACACACATCGAACTGCCCGATTACTCCCCCTTTTATTAGTTTTATGAAGGAGATGTCCAGTCACCAAGGCGCATGATGTGGGTGTGTGTGCTCTGCTCAGCTCTGTGTGTTCGGTGTGTCACACTGAGTTTAATGGCCGTTTCCTTCTGCACTTTCTTTCTCACGACAACAGGCCATGTTTGGTTTTTTCTTTGAGGGGAATAGTTTTGTTGAAGCTGTTGTTGGCCTGTGGGAAAATGTAATCATAAGAAATGACTCTGGAAAAGCTGCAGATAGAGCCATGAGAAATGAATGCAACTGATTATTTAATGTTTAATGTTATTTTTATAGGCAATACTTTAAGCTTTGTTAGTTCCAGGTTTAATATGTGCAATAAGTTCATTTCAATAAGTTCTGCAATAAACATTGAACCAGTCCGGCCCTCGACTAGCACCCATTTTTTAATGTTGACCCACTGTGTGTTTCAGTTTGACACCCCTGCTCTAGAAGTCACTTTTTCTGTTAGTTTTGTTATTTTTTCCGCAGTGGAGAGGACTCAAAGTGACTGTTTCCTGTTTTCCCTGCAGGGCGTCCTCACCTGTGGGCTCGCCTCGACAGGAAGCCCAACAAACAGGCGGAGAAGAGGTTCAAGAAACACCAGCACCAACACCGCAGCTGTAGAGGTGATTAGCTTCTGTTACATACAAAGAACAAATAGTAAATAAAGTTAATATGTACTGTATAGTATTTAATTACAGTGTTTGTAAATCATAATAAGGTTTGCTGTTAAATGTTTAAAATAAATGGCACATTTTATTTCTGTTATTTAAACAGACAACATGAAATATAAGGAGTAAAACTATAGTATATCTTTAAAAAGTCATAGTACAGTATGCTAGTAAATGTCCAAAAAATGTCACATTATTTCATGCTATTATTAACACATAATAACATATGGTGTTAACACATGAGTAATAGTATAGTTTGCCATCAAAAAGTCAGATCTAATTGGTGCACCAAATCTTTCTTCAATACTTTAGTACATTCTCTTCGGACGGTCGCTCTGTCCGAAAAGGAGATTAAACCCGTTTTGTTTGGTTGTTTTCCAGGTTTCTCGTGGGACGTCGAGGAGGATTTTAAGATTGTTCCGGAGGCGTGGATCCCGGCTCTCAGAGTCCAACATCTCAATGGACATCCGGTCCCCGACGAACACGGACACATTCCAGGTACTGACGACCATTACATTACATGTTAGACGCTTTTATCCAAAGCGACTTACATACATTCAGTCCTGTGGACAATCCCCACAGGAGCAGTTTGAGGTGAAGTGTCACAACGACACGCTGACTGCAGTGGGACTCGAATTTGGTACCCCCTGATTCGAAGTCCAGCACTCTATCCACTGAGCCACAGCCGCCCATTACTCACCAAGTAATGGAAAAATCACCTTTAAACTCTAACTCTAAAAAGTCCAAATTGCAAGTGCTAGGTACATGTGTTTGGATTTATATCCATCATCCCTTTTTCATTTCCACATGTTGTATTGCAGGCCACATTATTTTAACTTCATGGAAGATTTACTCCCAATTAGTCCCATAATTCAACAGCTGTGTTTAATTTTCATAAAACACAATAACCTCACCCTGCTTACCACAACAGTGTACGCTGCTTATTAATATATGGACCATAGTAGCATCTGTTTAACTAGAATTCGGTTATATTTATGGTACCATTTGCTTCAGGGAGAGTTTTATAACCGAGTGTAGCTCATACAGAAATACAGGGTGTAGAGATGTTCCTAAAAACTCGCATCATTATCGTGTCTCTACATCGTGCAGCTCTAACTTGGCCCTTGTGTTCAGGCTGGGTCCCGGTGCAGAAAGACAATAAACAGTACTGCTGGCACGGCTCTGTGCTGGACCCTGAGGGGGGGGCGGTTCTGGTTCTGAGGCCTGGTGGTGATGAAGATGAAGAGGAGCTGGAAGTCTCTGCCGTGCCGCTGGCCGACCAGATGGAGCGAACTCTGGAACTCATCGGAACAAACGTCAACGGGAACCCTTATGGTGAACACATTTTATAACGTTTGTCGGACATTTCTAAGTGGTGGTTGTTTAAACGCCAGATCGTGTTTGTCAATTTAAAAAAACAAAACACTGTGGTTTAAATCATTATATTGCCCGGAGCATACTATGACTTTTCTTCAAATTTGTCGACATACTATATTACATTTCTTTTCATTTTTTCAGATATTTTGACCTATGCTATTTTTCCACCTTGTCTGACATTCTTTAGTGGTTTAAAATGATTATATTTCCCGGGTAATGTTGGGTTTTAAAAAGGCGTCTCAAATCGATGCTGGATCATTTACTGTAGAATCTCCCATATTCCAAAGCTGTGTGTTCAGGGTTACCTTAAATACCTATCCTATTTAAAGCAAACCTGTCCCAAGTCTATTGTGCTCAATTTTATATATTTTTTAAGATTTGATAATTGAGTCCCTACAATTATGTTCTCGATGCCACATTTGGAATACTATGATTTTTTCGTAGTATACGTAACTTTACCGGTTACCTTTTTTTCCGACATACAGTCAAGTCTATTTTCCATGAAGGACAAATATTAACCTTTATTTTAGATATGTTTTAAGCTTTGATAATTGAGTCCCTACAACTATATCCCTGTTTCAATGTCACATTTAATATTATGAGAAGACTTTTTTCTTCTTACTGTGTTGAATTTAGTGATAAAAAGTATTTCACAAAAAAAGTCAGACAAATTCCATAGTTGAATATTTCACAATAAAATCCATTGTATAGTATGTCAAAGAAAGTCATCCTCCTCATCACATTTTTATAACATATCATTAGTTTAATGTAATACAAATATTTTCCAATCAAGACAATCAATGTTTAACAGAGACATTTGTACTATATGAAGACATTATTGCATCGTCTCTCCTGTGTGTCCTCAGGTCTGGGCAGTAAGAAGCAGCCTCTGCACCTCCTGGTGTCTCACGGGAGCTTTGGGGTCAGAAACCCCCCCCCGGTGGACTTCCATCAGATCAGCTCGTGGCTGAGGGAGGGTCCGGGGGGCCGGGTGGAGGGCATCGTGTGGCACTGCAGCGACGGCACGCTCATCAAGGTGAGAAGACTTCATTGAGATACCGTCAGTGTGAGATCACTTAAAGGTCACCTATCATGCTATTTTTAGGCAATAGCATAGATCTCAGATATATAAAAAACATGTCTATGAAGATCACCCGTTCTATCCCTCTGTTTCACTTCCTGTTTCAAAAGTGCTGATTTTGGGTATAAAGCTTAATTTATAATTGATAACTAAAAAAGGAGGGGTCTGAGCTCATGCGGGACCCGGCAGCTACTGTCTAAACCAGGGGTGCCCAACCAGTCGATCGACCGGTCGATCGTGGGGAGATTCCCAGTCGATCGACCGGTCGATCGCGGGGAGATTCCCAGTCGATCGCGAGATGTGTCTAAAAATAGAACAACAACATTCTGTATTATCGTTAATGTCCTATAACATAATCTTCCTGTGCCAGAATAATGCACTTGAACGCATCAAAGCTTTGTGATTGGCCGGCGTGACCCCATGTGTCGGGGTGTGGCTGGTGGGCAGTGGGCACTAGTTCGCTGACGTTGTCCGTGTCAACAGGAGTGACAGTCCGCACACAAACAAGACCGCAATTATGGCAGAAGCAAAAAAGCCCAAAATATATAATTTTCACTCCGAGTGGGAGGATGATTATTTGTGTATCTATTCCAATTCAAAGTCCATCTGTCTCATCTGCAATGCGAGCGTGGCTTTATCGAAGAAGGGTAATTTAGGAGCGGCAAAACAGTGCACAAACGCTACGAGACGGAATTCCCTCCTAATTCTGCCCTACGCTCCAAAAGGGGAGGGGCCTGAGAGGACAGCTAAATGCACAGCAGTCCATTTTCACCAGGCCCAACAACAAGAGCAAGGCTGCTACCAGAGCATCTTATCGAGTCAGGCACGTTCTTGCGAAACACATGAAGTCTTTCAAAGACGGAGAAGTTGTGAAAGAAGCATTCCTGGAGGCTGCCGATGCGCTTTTGCGGGACAGTAAAAATAACAGCAGCATTTCTACAGGTTTTTGATATAATAAAAACTCAAGTTGGATACCGTTATTAATCAGCTGTAAGTTTTAGTTTGTTTGAACTTAATCATTATAATTATTGTACAAAATGGTATAAGAATGCAAACATTCAGATCTGTTCTGTTTAAATTGATTATAGTCTATTATCAATTCAGGTTAAGAAACTAGTGTTGCTTGCATCCTATTTTTTAAAAGGCATTTATTTTTATACTCTACTAAAATGCTACAAAAAAGGTTTGATTCTATTAATGTTGTCTTTTGTATTGCACTTTGGCAGCAGATTCCTGAGTAGCTTCAGATCTGAGTTGTCTTATTAGTAAGCCTCATTTATACTTTTGTAGCAACACTATTTTTATATAATGGCAAAGAAAGGGTTCAGAGTCTTTTCTTTTTTCCCTGTGTCATATGTGGCAGCACTGTTCAATGTTTCTTGAAAACATTACCCACTGTAGTGACGTGTGAATAAACTCTGTATCAACAACACTGTTGTGTAGCTTCAGTTAAATACTTGTATGTGTGTAGATTAGAAGAGGTAAGATAAAGGATCTGCAGTATTTTATGAAGTATTAATCGTACAAAGGTCAGTTTTATACAAGTAGAAGTGTGTATTTGGTAGTAGGCTGTCAGTATGGCTACGCCTCTATTTGGACTGGTAGATCTCGGCAGACTGGCAACTTTAAAAGTAGCTCTCGGTTCAAAAAAGGTTGGGCACCCCTG